CTGCTTCCGCAAGGAAGATCGGGAGGGATCTTACTTGGAGTGAGATGTGATTCGTTCGAAGTCCGAAGTGTAGTGATGGGTGACTTCGCGGTTAAGTTTCTGGTTAGGTCCAAAGCTGATGGGTTTAACTAGGCTCTGGTAGCGGTGTATGGTGCAGCGCAATCCGAGTTTAAACCGGAGTTTTTGGCGGATCTTGTCCGAATTTGCGGCTCCGGGCAGCTCCCGATTTTAGTTGGGGGTGATTTCAATATCATTAGAAGGAGAGAGGAAAAGAATAATGATAATTTTGACGGCAAATGGTCGTTTATGTTCAATACCATTATTGAAAGCTTGGATCTGAGAGAGATAGAGATTTCTGGTAGAAAATTTACTTGGGCTAATAATTTGCCAAACCCGACGTTTGAGAAGCTGGATCGAGTCCTAGCGAGCGTCGAGTGGGAACAAAAATTCCCTTTGGTAACGGTCCAGGCTCTCTCGCGTGGAATTTCTGATCACACACCCTTATTCGTGGACTCGAGTGAGCCAAACCTCGTAGGAAACAAAAATTTCTTTTCTTTCGAGCTGGCATGGTTTGAGCGTGAAGGATTCTTGGATCTGATAGCCAGGGAATGGGCTAAGGATGCAGGAGGTAGGACTTCTGTTGAGCGCTGGCAGAATAAGATCAGGCATTTGAGAAGTTTCTTACGTGGGTGGGCTAAACACCTTAGTGGGATTTATAAGGTTGAAAAGGAAAGGCTTCTTTCACTTATTCAGTTCCTAGATTTAAAAGCCGAATCCACGATTTTGCAAGCCACGGAGCTTCATGCTAAAATTGAAGTGGAGATGAGGTTGAAAGAGCTCCTCCGTGAGGAGGAATTAAAGTGGGCGTTGCGGGCTAAGGTCTGCAAAGTTGTCCAGGGGGACGCGGACACTCAATTCTTTCACTTGATTGCTAATGGCAAGCACAGAAAGAAGAGAGTCTTTCAGCTTGAACAAGATGAAGGAACTATTTTAGGACAGGATAACCTCAAAATATACATAACCGAGTACTATAAGTAGTTGTTTGGATCTCCGGAGGATAGTTCTATATCCCTGGATGAGTCCAGGGTAGAGGATGTGCCTCAACTCTCTGCTGATGAAAATGATATTTTGGTTGCCCCGTTCTCAAAGAAAGAGGTGTTTGAAGCTATTGCGCAGATGAAGAACAATAAGGCTCCAGGACCGGATGGATTTCCGGCGGAGTTCTGTAAAAAGTGTTGGCATATTATTAAGGGGAATTTGCTACCAATGTTCCATGATCTATTCTCTGGACAACTTCAGTTATTTCATTTAAATTTTGGAACCATAACATTTCTTCCTAAAAAACGGAAGCTGTGAGAATTGAGCAGTTTAGGCCGATATGTCTCCTTAATGTTAGTTTCAAAATCTTCACCAAGATTGGGACTAATAGGCTCACACAGATTGCGCATTCTGTGGTGCGGCATTCCCAAACTGCTTTCATGCCGGACAGAAACATCCTAGAAGGGGTGGTGGTCCTTCATGAAACGCTCCACGAAATTCACACGAAAAAATTAGATGGAGTTGTTTTTAAAGTGGATTTCGAGAAAGCGTACGATAAAGTCAAATGGCCATTCCTTCAACAGGCCTTACGTATGAAAGGTTTTGATGAAGCCTGGCGACGCCAGGTAGAATCGTTCACGCAAAAAGGGAGTGTTGGAATTAAAGTGAATTACGACATAGGTCATTATTTCCAGACACATAAGGGCCTGAGACAAGGGGATCTGATGTCTCCCATCATGTTCAACATTGTAATTGATATGTTGGCAATTTTGATAGGAAGGGCTAAGGAGGCTGGCCAGGTGGGTGGCTTGGTACCTCATCTAGTTGATGGAGGTGTGTCCATCCTTCAGTACGCCGATGATATGATCATCTTTATGGAGCATGACTTGGCCAAAGCGAGAAATATGAAGCTTGTGTTATGCTTGTTCGAACAATTGACCGGGTTAAAGATTAACTTTCACAAAAACGAATTGTTCTGCTTTGGTAGAGCCAATGACGAACAAGAGGCATATAGGCAATTGTTTGGGTGCGAATTGGGGACTTTACCTTTTACGTACTTAAGTATACCAATCCACCATCGTAAGCTTACAAACAGAGAATGGAAGTGCATCGATGACCGATTTGAAAAGAAACTGAGTTGCTGGAAGGGCAAGCTCATGTCATACGGAGGCCCATTAATTCTGATTAACTCGGTTCTCAGGAGTATGCCTATGTTTCTTTTATCGGTCTTCAAAGTACCCGTTGGAGTTAGGAAACGACTGGACTTCTATCAATCCCGATTCTTCTGGCAGAGCGATGAATTAAAAAGAAAATACCGACTCGCCAAATGGGATATCATCTGTCGACCAAAAGACCAAGGGGGTCTTGGTATTAAGAATCTTGAGGTCAAGAACATATGTCTTCTCAGCAAGTGGCTGTGGAAGCTATCTATTGAGACTGATGCCACTTGCGCGCAGATCCTCCGTAGCAAGTATCTTCACTCCAAAACTTTGTCACAGGTGACAGCAAGACCGACTGACTCACCTTTTTGGAAAGGGCTTATGAAAGTCAAATTAACCTTGTTTAATAGGACAAAGTTTATTATTGACAACGGTGCTAGTACACGATTTTGGGAGGATACTTGGCTCGGAGAGACCCCCCTTGCCTTTCAATACCCGTCTCTGTATCGTATTGTTCAACGACGTGAGGTTTTCGTTGCAACAGTACTTCAATCCAACCCCCTTAATATTCAGTTCAGAAGGACGCTAATTGGCAATCCTTGGGAAGAATGGCTCCATCTAGTAAGTAGACTGATGGAGGTTCAGCTAACTCAACAACCGGATAAATTACGCTGGAAGCTTACTAGGTCTAGAGAGTTTACTGTTAAATCAATGTATGTTGATGTTATCAATTCAAGCTCCATTCCTAGTTCCAAATATGTTTGGGCTGTTAAAGTTTCTTTGAAAATCAAAGTGTTTATGTGGTTTGTCCATAAACAAGTAATATTAACCAAGGACAATTTGGCAAATCGTAATTGGACAGGATCTACTAGGTGTAGTTTCTGTGATCAGGATGAAACCATCAAACACCTCTTTCTTGATTGCCCGTTAGCAAAAGTCTTATGGCGGACTGTCCATATTGCATTTAACATTACTCCATCGAGTTCTGTCAACACGTTATTTGGAACATGACTTAACGGGATTGAGACCGAAACAGCGAGACATATTCGAGTAGGAGTTTGTGCTTTATTGTGGGCAATCTGAAACTGCAGAAATGATATTGTTTTTAACAGAACAACAAATATTCATTTTTTGCAGGTTATTTTCCGAGCCACTGCGTTGATCCGTATGTGGTCGCTACTCACTCCGACGGAGGCCAGGGAGCGTTTGGTTACTGGATCTATCCGCTGGAAGATGGTAGTACGGGATATCTTCAACCGGTTTGGATGGCGGTCATGTAATAGGATAGGCAATTAGTTTACCTGTCTCTCTTATGCCAGCCGGTTGTGGCTTTTCATGGCCAGTTTTTTTTTGGCCCTTTTGGCTCTTAGTGAGCTCTCTTTAATTTTCGTTTTAAGATTCTAAGACTTTGTTGAATCTTTTTGGCTTTATAATAAGTTGGCCGTATGCATCGTTCTGATGCAGAGGCCGGGGAGTCTTCCCTTTTCGAAAAAAAAACACATTCAAATACTAGATAGGGTTGAATGGAAAAATTAAAGGGCAAGAGAATTGAATCGGAACTCGCATGCAGAATACCATGACCAAACTACGATGACCTTTACGTAGAAAAATTCTAGCACGCCGCGTGTGCAGTGCACCGAAGCATGATAGATGAGGCATACCCATTTTGTTGCCCAAAAAATCAGTTTTTATTTTTATTCTTTAGTGTTTTATTGTTCATCTCATGTGCATACGCTCGGGAATATACATGTACTTTCATTGACGGAAAGGGTATAAGAGTGCTCAGGTGGCGTTTGGTTCAATGGCGAGGCGGATCGGCTGAGGGTATTGTTGTCTACCTGGTTGGGGATAGCCTACTTTTATTGTTTGGTTGAGAGGATAAATAGTGGTTGGGGATAGCCAGCTTTATGTTTGGTTGCAAGGATAACAAGTGGATGGATTGTTGTGATTACCTTTGAAGCAGAATACCTAAAATATATACAAGAAATGAAAAGAAATTGGGATTGAATACAAGGCCGTGCAAAGACATATGCGGCTGTGTTAAGCATAAAACCATACAAGTAGGCTGATTACACTTGTTCATACATTGAGACATGCATATATGCCACTACCCCATAAATTAGCATATTTGTCTCGTTGTCCATCTATGGTACAAATCCACCAGAACATTCCTCCCTGCCTTCGCCAAGGTATTAGCAGCATGGAAGCTAGCTTCCTGTGACCACACAGTTCAACAAAATCACCAAACTAACTAATCAGGTCTGGAGTCACCGTGCTGCCTATCCTTTTCTAGTCGCCGGTTCATTTGTCGTTTGCCGTCATGGTGCTAATACCCGGGTCCAGGTGAGATCGAGCGGACTGTTTTACCTGAAGCGGGGCTGGCAGCCACCATCCACCATATTTTCACGGACAAGGCCAACCAGCTTTTGACACGAACTAGATGACCCGTTGCGCCAATGGCGCAAAGGGCGATAGCAAGCCAAGTATTGTAAGAGGGGTGATAGAAAAATTCAGGCACATATCGAAATAATAAATACTTACTGCTGGTAGATAGATACTTAGTGATGATACAGTGTTATAAGAAGTTTTTTATCAATTATTTACAATGTTATTAGGAAGCAAGGTAGATAGCCAGAGATACATCTTATGAGGCAACGAACATTAGATGGAGTCATCGTTGCACGTTTCATGAATATTGAAAACGGCTTTGTTGTCCAGGCAACCTTTATTAGTGCTAAAGCCTGGGTTTGTTCAAAACACTGAAAGTACAAGCGTATGAGGACAGCAACAGGGTAGCAGTCTTCACTTGTCCTTGCGAGTGGTGGTTTTAGTAGCCACAGCAAAGGCTTGGGATATACTGGAAAGCAAGCGGACATCCTTCAAACTGGTCTAAGAGGCAGCAGATAGCAAGTAAAACAAAAACAAAAAATCAAACTGAATTCAGACCATAGAACATCAAGTTCGCGCCGAGGGCCAACGACCTGGCCGCCACCCCATACGTCCGCGGTCGCCGCAGCTTGCCAGCTTTCCTGTCGCTGCAACTTGCCAGCTTTCCCTCGGTGACCTCCTTCGACTACCCACCTGCACATAGAGCAGCGCAGCCTCCAGCTCCAGCCCACGGAGGCATAAGTCAAGCTTTCACATTTCCACAAAGTAGTTTCTATCCAGAATTTAATCATGTACAACTAGATCACTCAACTAAGTTACAAACAAAGGACAACTAATGGAATTACTATTTATAAGAACATCATATGTGTATTTCACACAAGACACACTGCCAAGGTAAGGGTAAATCTGGTTACAACACAACAGAAATTACATAAAAGCAAGTTGTTAAAGATAGAAACAGAGAAATATATAGATATATTCATATCTATCAAAACTGCTACATTCAAGCCGATTCTAAGAACCATGGTTATATGGTTTTGCATTAAGTTGCAATGTACTTCTTCTCAAACCTTCATACGTTCCAACAAAGCAACATATTCAGCTATAAAATTGGTTCAACTGAAAACTGATCTCACACTAAATTGATCTGGTTGGTATCCGATAGCAGAACAGGTTTGAGGGGTTGATAACCCATGATACCAACTATGTAGGGATGCACGAAGCAGAAACAAAAGTAACAGTGATACATAAAGAGAAATGATTTGTACATACAACAAGATATCTGAAAGGATCTTATTTTGCCAACAAAATATTTATGCATCGGTTCGCTTCATTTGAAATCTGCATACCCAAAAAAAATATTAAGGTAAGAAAACAGTAAAGTCGAACAAAGAACAGATCTAATGATAATATAAAGGGTATACCTTTGCCACCGCATCTTTTGCCACATGCAGAACTTTTTCAAGAAGCAACTCAATAGATTCTTCTAAAGCATCTTTTTGAGAGCAAACTAATCATTACTATAAAAAAGAATGATCAATTAAACTAATCTTCCTGTGCATAGGCATGAATAGTGGACCTGATTATTGAGCATCTCAGCAATTAAAAACAAAGCAATCTGCCTAGCAGCCAGCACCTCATGTACTGAAAGGCTGGAATTAGAATGCAAATAGTTTGAACCCTATTTTTCAAATACACATTATTGTTTAGCTCAGAAATTAGAAGATTATGCTTCAGAAAAAACAACCCGAACTATTATAAAATTAAGTACTTTGGGTTCCCCTAGTAACTACATTTTGTAAGGAAATCAGGTTGCAAACCTTTGACCACATGGAGTTGTCATTACCAAGTGAAGCCTTAATCAACTGTTTTATTGTTTCGTGCTCTTCCGAACTTGATATTTCTACATCAGTGCTTATCTACAAAGTTGAGAAAATAAATTAAAGCACTTCACAAAGATTTAGAAAAGGAAAAAACGGCAGTACACACAATCAAGTAAAAGGATTTTTCGTCAGTACATGATGAAGTTGTGGTATGCTCAATCCGTTGTCAGCATGCATGTTTGTCTTTATAGAACTAAGGTTTACAACCATATCTCCCTCTTCAACATAATTTCCTGTAGTTGAACTCACTGGTTGAACTAACAACATTATGCCCATCAGGGGTGTCCAGACTGAAGGAACATAAACACTAACACGGTTATTAATGTAATGCAAATTAGTGCAGTTATTGCTTTGCGGACATATGGACACCGTCCGCCTGCATCCCTACTCTATGGTATATAAGTTGGGAACCATTTTGAATTTTGCGTTTAAGATGAGGTAGACAAAATAAGCAAGGTAGAGTGAAAAGAATATAATAGAAACAAACCTTTGCATCCTCTTAGTATGGTATATCTCCCTGCTATGATCATCATTATAATTGAAGATCCATACCTGCAAAAGCAGTAAAAAATAGTGAGACATCACCTAAAAATGATTACCGTGTGAATCTGGATCTGCAAAAGTGGCTTGTAACAAATTCCCATCCTGTTGGGTTGTAGTCAACATCCATCCTGACAACTCACCTCGTGTAAGACTTGACTTCTAAAAATCAAATATAAATCAAAAGGAAAAGAATACTGCATGTTGCCAATTGGCTTGATACATACCTAAATGAAATGGTAACTTTCAGGTGTACATTGTATAATGTAAGGCAGGAACTGCACATCTCACTGAGTTCAGTGACGCATTACACTACAATGAAATAGCACCCCATGTATAAAATCCTTCCCTATTGCAGCTTCAGTTTTGCTTGATATATCCTTGAAGTGTTTGTGTGCTATTCGTATTGACAGGAGATATGCATATGCTAGCACATGCACTTACCATACAGATCTATATAAACCACTCGTTTTCTCTACCAAGGGAGTGACCTTCACAGATATCTATATTTGCTACTGACAATTTGAGTTCCTCAAACAGAAGGAATTATCCAAGAGTGATCGAATGAAGAATGGTGTACTCTTTTAAACAGAAGAAAGGCATGGACTTACCATACAGATCTATATAATAACCACTCGTTTTCTCTACCAAGCGAGTGACCTTTACAGATATCTATATTTGCTACTGACAATTTGAGTTCCTCAAACAGAAGGAATCATCCAAGAGTGATCGAACGAAGAATGGTGTACTCTTTTAAACAGAAGAAAGGCATGGCTGAAACACATTTTTTTTCTAGAGCATATTTTTATTCCTATGAAATAAGAAAGAAGAAAGAACGCAATAGAACAGCTAAAAAGAAATTAAGTATGCACACATACATTGTTCTTCAGTCTTCCTCAAGGTCCTTCCTCTTGTATTCTTCATCCGATCTGCACACATCTTGTTTAGAAAAAACACAAATCAAGAAATTAAAATCTGGTGGGCTGGGTGAGTCAAAAAATCAGTGCTCATCCAAACGACTTCACCAGCCTGGTCAACGATCAATATTTTGGATGGGCAGCTGTAGGCATCAATCCAAACAGCCGCTGAGTTCTTCACAGTAAAATCCGTAAAATGCAGCAGCTTACCAAATTCTATGGTCAATCATGTCATGAGCAAACTTCGATGACAATTGACAATTTTGGATAGACTGTTCATGCCCTGCTGCACTCGGGCGGAAACAATAACTTACTGACAACTGTGCTATTCAGTGGTAGAAAACACCCGATATAAAGTTAACTGACATTCCTAGTTTTCTTGTATAGTATGATCATATCAACAAATTCTGAAACTTACGAATTGGCTGACTTAACCCAATATATAGCCCATGCTAAATTGGTCGTAGTTGGTTTCAGTCTTTCAGTTCGTAAAATCCCAAAGGGATCGCAAAACTGATTTGCAGAAATTCACATGCTACACTTCATTAGATGAAACAGGACCCACTACCTAATTAGCATGTCGCATTTCAATTCAATAGTCTGTACGTTATGTTTGTGAGCAGGATGCCCAAAAAAAGCACTAAGGATCATGAAATAGCTTCTACATAGTCTATCAGAACCGCACCTCAATATGACCAGAAAATCAGAGCATTTGTGCCAGGTCAAGAACCTAAGAATATCCAGGCATCAGCATTTAAACAAAGCTACACAACAGCGACAGTTGTGGTGGCATCAAGAACCAACAGCCAGGTCAAATGGCACAACACGAGAATGCTAAGAGAGATCCAAGAAAAAAGCAGAAGCCGTCATACCATCAGTACAGCGAGTGCGCCACTCGAAGAACAAAATCGGCGAGCAGCGAGATAAGAAGGGGCGAAGCGAGTGGGCAGCGAGAGCGAGACCTAGCCCGCGTCTCCCCCCGCGACCCTCTTTCCTCTTGCCGCCGCCGCCGCCACTGCCGATGGAGAAAGTGGGAGGAAATAGGAGAGGGAGGTGCAGCAGACGGGAGAGGGTCATCGGCTGCTGTTGGCCTGCACCCGCAAGGTCGGGCACGACCTGGCGGCGTCTCGATTCGCTCCTCACACTGCCGGCTGCAGGATCCAGGTTACTCCCGCACGACCGCCATCTCTCTGCCCAGCGTCCTACCTCATCACTGGCCGCCCTCCTAATCCTTTGTCTCAGGTAGCTTTGCGAGCACGAGAATGCTAAGCGAGATCCAAGAAAAAAGCAGAAGCCGTCATACCATGTGGCACGTCGAGCCGATCCTGGGGAGGACTTCTGCCGCCGCCAGCAGCAGCCGCTGGTGCGGCCCGTGGTGGAGGCGGGGGAGGGTGGGCGCGCAGGGGCCTTGCCGGGGGCGGAGGCGGGGGAGGGGGCCTCAGGCGCCCCAAGGCGCGGCGCAGGGTCTGACCCACCCATGTGTCGGCGCCGGCGAGAGGGAGCGGGTGGCGAAGCAGAAGATGTGTAGCATAGATTTGGATGAGCCACGACTTCCTACTGTCGGCTGCCCTTTTTCATAGCCAAGAATAGCGAGGACGTGGAGGCAACGGTCCTGCCTAGCATCCCCTTCATCATTTATACAGTTTTGCTAGAACTCATCTAGATGAGATATAATTTGGTCTCATTCATCTTTTATAGTCATTGAATGTGATGCTATAAGATGCTATAAGATGCGTGTGTGTTGACGTGGATGTTATATATTCTTGTTTTCCAAGTGAATGAGACCAAATTATATCTCATCTAGATGAGTTCTAGGTACTCCCTCATTTATATGTTCAATATTCGGGAATCATGGTTGCCCTCAGCCAACTCTATCCTGCAATGATGGAGTTTGACGTCCGCTGGCACGTCTCCTTCGCGGCGGACCTCGTGTCCGTACGCACTGTCCATTTCACCGGCGGTGAGATCCTCCTCCACCGAGGAGCGCTCCGGATCGTGCTGATCGACGACAAGGGTGTGTCGGTGGATGCGCGTTACTTGCGCGAGGGGGAAACCATCGATATTGGCCAGGTCATCTCCTTCCCCTGCCACTTTGCTAGGGTTCATGACCGTATTCCGACGAGCGACACAGGTGCGGGTACACGGGGACATTCGGCGCGTGGTGGCGTGTGCGGTGCACCGAGCCGCGTCCGGGATGAGCGATGGCGGGGCCCTGGGGTCCTGGGGCCACATCCAGACGCGAGTGGGGCGGCCGCCATTGATGCTCGACACGTGGGCGGAGATCCGCGCGGCCATGGGGCGCTACAGGATGTTGTGGGTACAAAAGCCGCTCCCACCCCGATTCGTGACCTAGACGCCGCTCTATCCCACTTCTGGGAGACACCGAGAAACCCTAGATCGAGATTCCCCTCCTCCTTTCTCTGGTGGGAGGGGGAGATTGGAGGCGACCACAGATCTTACGCAGCGGTGGCTGCTTCCTCGAGCGAGCCGAGCGAGATGGAGAACCGCGGCGGCCACGCCTTCTGCGGAAATCGTCAGGAGGGCTTCGGATCTGGGCGGATGGGGCGCAGAGCTGGTCGATTTGACCGAGGACACGGTCGGGGCCGTTTCTCGTGGTCCAGGGACGTCGACGGCGACGACTTCTCCACCAACAAGAAGACGGCGTCGGCTTCGGACGACACCGAGCGGTGGGACGAAGCTGCAGAGAGAGCCAAGAGGGCCAGATCTGGGGGGTTTGGGTGGGGAAGAACCCAACCCTCCTTGAGGGAGTCCTGGATTAGGGGGTGATCGGGTAGACGGACTATACATTCAGCCGAACTCCAGGACTATGAAGATACAAGATTGAAGACTTCGTCCCGTGTCCGGATGGAACTTTCCTTGGCGTGGAAGGCAAGCTTGGCGATGCGGATATTCAAGATCTCCTACCATTGTAACCGACTTTGTATAACCCTAACCCTCTCCGGTGTCTATATAAACCGGAGGGTTTTAGTCTGTAGGACAACTTCATCATACAACAATCATACCATAGGCTAGCTTTAGGGTTTAGCCTCCTTGATCTCGTGGTAGATCTATTCTTGTACTACCCATATCATCAATATTAATCAAGCAGGACGTAGAGTTTTACCTCCATCAAGAGGGCCCGAACCTGGGTAAAACATCGTGTTCCTTGCCTCCTGTTACCATCCGGCCTAGACGCACAATTCGGGACCCCCTACCCGAGATCCGCCAGTTTTGATACCGACATTGGTGCTTTCATTGAGAGTTCCTATGTGTCGTCGCTTTTAGGCCCGATGGCTCCTTCGATCATCAACAACGATGCAGTCCAGGGTGAGACTTTTCTCCCCGAACAGATCTTCGTCTTCGGTGGCTTTGCACTGCGGGCCAATTCGCTTGGCCACCTTGAGCAGATCGAAAGCTACGCCCCTGGCCATCAGGTCAGGTTTGGAAGCCTAAACTACACGGCTGACATCCACGGGGACTTGATCTTCGACGGATTCGAGCCACAGCCAAGCGCGCCGCACTGTCTCGATGGGCATGATATAGCTCTACCGCCAAACAGCGCCTTGGAGGCCGCACACGCATCGGTTCCGACCATTGATTCGGAGCCTACTGCGCCGATCGAGGATCAGCGGTTGGACGCTGCCTCAGGGGTTGCGATCTCAGAGGCGATCGAACCGAACTCCAGACCCGCACTCCACATGGCCCGTGACTCCGAGGAGCCGGATTCCTCTTCGAACTCCGAGCCCCCCGCGCCCCTGCCGATCGAATCCGATTGGGCGCCGATAATGGAGTTCACCGCCGCAGACATCTTTCAGCACTCGCCCTTCGGTGACATCCTGAATTCTCTAAAGTCTCTCTCTTTATCAAGAGAGCCCTGGCCGGACTACGGTCAGCAAGGTTGGAATACGGACGATGAAGAAATTCAAAACCCACCCACCACCCACTTCGTAGCCACTGTCGACGACTTAACCAACATGCTTGACTTCGACTCCGAAGACATCGACGACATGGACGACGATGTAGGAGACGAACAAGAACCAGCACTTGTAGGGCGCTGGAAGGCCACCTTGTCATACGACATATATATGGTGGACACTCCAAAGGATGGAGATGGCGATGGAACAGTGGGGGACGATACCTCTAAGAAACAGCCCAAGCGCCGGCGTCAGCGGCGCCGCTCTAAATCCCGCCAAAGCAAAAACGGTGATTCCGG